CCGGGGGAGGAGAGGCAACGATATGAAGCATTAACACGGTGGGCCCCATGTAATATTGCCTTGGGAACCAAACTAATGTCATTAACGATCTAGAGACTAACATAATTCCATTTTATTAAGATTTAGAAAATAAGTGTCTTACACTGGATACACCTTGGCGGCTTGCGCATGTGCAAATATAAAAGAGCAACATCAATCAATTTGCAAGACAGACATTTATTTGAGCCAAGGTAGATAGAAAGGAACTTAATGGAAATACTAAATTTTGTTTATAATGATGTCTGGCAGGCAAAAAAGATGGCTCGAGAATATGGCCTGATGCCAGGAATTGGAATTGAATGGAAATTTAGGCAGAAGAGAGAAGCACATAACTACAATACTTGGGAAATGAGGACTTCTACATATTCTCAGTGGGGTGTGTGATAGACTTACCTCCACGTGGTGCACCCTGCAATAGACTTACCTCCACGTGGTGCACCCTGGGCAACGTATAATCATACGGCCATACGGCAAAAAAAGTCTATTAACTGGCAGTTGACTTCTGACTCAATAAAAAAGTCTATTATTCGGCAGTTGACTTCTGACTTCAAAGCGGCAAAAAAGTCTATAAACCGGCAGTTGACTTCTCTTCATGGCAAAAAGTCTATTAACCGGCAGTTGACTTCTGACTTCAGCAAAAAGTCTATTAACCGACAGTTGACTTCTGACTTCAACTCATACGTCAAAAAGTCTATTAACTGGCAGTTGACTTCTCACTTCAAAAAAAGTCTATTAACTGGCAGTTGACTTCTAACTTCAAACTGCCATCACCCCACCGTATGTCATATTCCACCATTTCAGCAGATCTCGCCTTACCTTTTACTCAACATTTGTGTCTGTCTGTCTCTTTTACATCTGTGATTAATTATTCTGTCCCCCCCCCCTCTCGACTTGTTGTCACCCTGTTGTTCCCCATCCTCTTCTGTGAAGCCTGAAGTCAGCTAAAGGGCTAATGATAACTAACAAAATGCCTGCCATTTGAAATAAAGAAATATATTTTGTTTACAAAATGCCTGCCATTTGAAATAAAGAAATATATTCACAGTTTAAATTAAGCATAATGAAAAGTAACTGGCAAGAGTTGATTAAGCTACTCTAGTCCTTGGATAAGTAGTAAAGATATTCTAGTCAAGGCATTTCGAACTCAGTACCAAGGGCAGAGTAAATAACGCTAGGTTTTTCCAGTCTCTCTAAACCGAAATTAGATTAAAAATAATAATAATAGTAATTAACCAAGCGAGCATATTTTTTTCAAGTATAGAAATGAATAGGCCAAAGTTTCATGATTGGGTCCCACTGCATTTAAGGCAAGCGTTTTATAGAGTAGCACATTGGAATCTATTCAAAAAAAGAAATTCACATATTCTATTGCCAGTTATTGACCGAATCGGTTATAGAATTTATTAAATGAAATGACCTTAGAAGAAATGGTACTGAGTTCTATTCATTAATCAGCTTATCAACGAACAGCATCCGTAATAAAATGACAAATTCCCTACTTATGAGCAAAACAGACTAGTCATCTTCTTTGAAGTATTGGAAACTGTTTAGGGTCCAGTAAAGATGGTTCCCACGGATAATAGGAGACATTCCAATCAGTAAAGTACACTTTCAGCAAGAATAGACAGTTTGGCTCATAAATAACGAATATATCAGTTCTAGAGGCATGACTTCACCATTAATAGCTATAAAATTAAGCATAATTAGTGTAATAAATTAGGTGAAAAATGGAAAACTTAGCAAAATGTCAGAATTCCTGTATGATAATGGGGAGCTTATTAATCATCAGGGGGGCAAAAAAAGACTCAACCAACAGAAAAAAGGGGAACAGAACAAAGAACCAATCAAATCGACCAAGTTTACATTTCCATACCTCCTTCACCTCTACCATTAGACAGTCGAAAAAAGGGAGGATGCAATAGTAGTCATGCCTCCACACCTATTAGAAATGCGTCAGGACACGTGGTCGTCTCCTTAAAGCTGATATATATAAGGCCTAATCACCTATCGCTTAAAATGTTGACCTAGTCAGGTTAAGGAAATAAAAACTCCCTCCCTCCAGGCGGAGATTACTACTCAATTTTAATCAGGGGTGAATTGTAGGATATTCGTATTAAAGCGCGGTAGTGCTCACTAAGACCCCATTGGTCTCTGATAAGAAGCTAAGTTGACTTATGGATGCAGTAGGTTTTAAAGAAAGAGAATTAGACACGAAGAGAAGAAGTCATGGTAGGGTGGTATTTAGTCTAACACAAACGAAATCTCTAAGAAAGTACAGGAAAGTAGTTTCTTCAACCGAAAAACCTTGACTTTTCGAAAAAAACTGGAAGGTGAAAGTAGGGACGGAAGTGGGGGGAGAGCGCAGTGACTAAAGTAATTTCGCGCACACAAGACAAAGGAACGAAAGTAATACACGAAAACGCAGATTTGATGCAACAATAGCTTAGCGTATAAGACGTCTGGTTAGAATTTGAGAAAGGTTTTAGCTAATTTCAAATTCATCAAAGGCGATTTGATTACTCAGATAAATTTCTTAACCATATCGTCTACTTATAAGGAGGTAAAGAGCGAAAACAACAAACTCAACTCCAGTTTATCAACGCCGACCACCGGTCAACTCATCTTTTACTAAATAAATTAATTTAAGTGTCTAATCCATTCTAAACGAATAAGTAAGCCAATCTTATCCAATTATAAGGTTCGAATAAGAATTGGGTTGGATAGCAACGCGATAAATATAGATGGTCCTCATTCCTTCCTTATGTAACTGATTGTAATCATCTTTCTTCACTAATGAAGGCATAAATAAATATATAACGCGAGTCCAACTCACATCTTCCACAACAGTCCTGATGAGTTTAGCCGTCGCTGCCAGTGAGTTGACGAGCATTCTAGCTGGTGGATAGACCTGGAGGAATTGGTCCTTGAGATGGACATCGGTGAGATCGAAAGCGTTCTGCTTGCCCAGTGCCTCCGAAAGGCAATTTATTCTTTGAGTATTAGGAGCACCAGCAGCACCACCACTTGCCGATGCAGAATTCACATCACCGGAGGCAGCTCCCTCCGCTTTTTCCATCAAGACGACAATAGAGGTTCGAAGTTGGGCGAAGAAGGAAGTCACAAGTTGACCCAAATCACCCCGCCGGCCTGCCATGTAGGCTTCCAAGTCGTTGAAGAATTGAAAGAAGAAAGCATGATTCACTTTGTAATTGTAGCCGTAGATTCCACTAAAGGCCTCGTGTAGTCGATTGCGGGCTTCGGTCAAGTCGGATCGGAAGAAGTCTACAAGCAGGCAATAGAAAGGATAAATTAGGTATTCATGAAGACCGAATTCCACCTGAAGGAGTACAAACACATTCATGTTTGTGTTGCAATACAGGATTAGAGCTTCATGCCATTAACTTGCATATCCGCAATATTCACTGCTAACTTTAAAAAATCAGAGATGGGTAAAGCGTAGTAGGACAATGTTTTTTGAGGCCTATTTCGAAAAAGTTCTGGCTTAAATCTGGGATAGAATACCATCGTTTTATCAGTTTGGTAGCCAAAAGCAAATATATAATGAGTAAGAGATAATTTGGTTAGATTATGCTAATCAAATGAGTTGTCCAAAGGGAAACTTAGCCCAACTAAAAGCATAGTAGGGTAGACATTGGAAAAGTAATTAGAAAGACGAAATTTTCTTGCCTTAACGCATTTTCAAACCTACTATCCATATATTTCCTTCCTATGCAAAGATTATGCACTTTTAGGCAATTTTCATGGTTAATGAACATCTTTCCATTCGCTAATTCCTCAATATGCTTGATAAAGAATACACGGGCAAATTTACAAAGGCTGAATGGCTGGAGCGTGTAATCCTTGTAAATGAATTTCTTCATAAATCAAACTATAAAGTCAGTTAAAACGACCGCAAAGTAATATCATTTCAGAACGATGAAATTTAATTCTAAAATAACTACCACTGATATATAGTAAAACGAAGATAAATATAAATAAAAAACGATAAGTATTTTTGAAATTGAAGAGGAAATAGGAAAATATATATCTGAAATCAATTCAGATGGGCGCGTAACACATGGTTCTTGCGATTGAAACCAAGACTACTAGCCTATAAGTCAGTTAGACATGAAGTAAATTGGAATTGTGCAAATGATTTCAATTGGTCATCTCTCCATCTATCTACTAAGTTATTTGTTAGAGGAAGCGGCAACCTATAAGAAGAGTTTATTAACAATACCTTGAGCCTGTTCGTTCAAATAATTTTCATTTTAAAATGAATTCAGAGTTATCTGAAAATCAATATCTCCATTATATCTTTTTTGTCAGATAGGACAATGGTTATCTCGTAAACATCTGGTCACGCTTCGATTTGCTATAAAAAATAGACTTAAACGGTATTTAAAAAGAAGGTTAATATACCATACCAATCACCTTGATTGATTACGCGGATTGCACAATTTATTAGTCTTAAAAAAGTGTCAATTTCTAGCCCATGCAATTAAATGGATTAAGATGGCGTGATTCTGATGATGTCCGTTCCATAATTACGGACATTATTCTGCATAAATGTGGGCAATTATCCCCCCCCCCCCACCCCCCCCGCCTTACTCCGTGTTTCTTATCCCCAGTGAATTCTCCATATAAATGCCAACCCAAATAGTAATAATAATCCTTCCCCCACACTACCGGATATCCTACATATATATAACATTTTATTACAGCCCTGCCTTTCAAAGAGACATCGGGAACAGTAAAGGCAAAAAGAATGCGGCCTACAATCGTCTCTATCACACCCCTCACCCTCTACGAACAGACATCGATCAAAGGCTTTGGGCCAAAAGACAGATAAGACGCCCGCTAATTTGTTTATTTAACACCACCGCCAGTCTAGTTTACACGCAAGATATCCACCCAGATTATCAGAACGGAAGCACCCTAATATGCGCAGAGTACACGGAACTGCCACGAAGTCTCCAGTCGATGAATGAAATAAACACAACCAAAGATAGCCGGACCTCAAACGCCAAAAAACGAAACTTGACGCAATAATCAGAAGGGTTGTGAAAAGACGGGGGTATCCATATAAAGGTATGACTTTGCCTCAAGTTATGATCTTTGACTCTAAACGCCGAAAAAACATTAGCTTTACAATAGTAGGAGCTCGATATGTCAGCTGGCACCCGTGTATATCATTCCGCCCAATGCACGCCAGTGGATAAACATGAATCATCGAAGGGCGCAAAGTTGGTTGACTGTGGGTCGCGGCATTATGACAGAGTAGAAACTTGACTTGCCCTGGGAAAAGGGTCGTATCCACTCCCCATATTTTACACACACACACACAACCCCCCCACTCCCCTCCCCAGAATATTTCCTCCGTGCTTTCACGAACGAGTATTTAATGAACGGCCTGGCTAATGCTGGCCTCTGGATATAAGTAGTAGTAGCCTAAATATTTAATTAAGTGGCCTGTTGAGCATTCTGATCAAAGAGAATCCATGGATGATAAAATGTGTGGAAGTTTTATGGATTTATCTAGCTATTTTCCAGTCCACAGTAAATAGCTTTTCTGGTCAGGGAGATGTATGGGTTGTTCAAAGTATGCCACTTTGGAATAATATACCTAATGAATTTAGGATCTCTATTAATTAGAAGCCTGGCATTCATTTCGAATAATTCTGGCTATACATTTAGGGGTTCTTACAGAAATCTGTCGTTATGGAAATGCGATAGATGAAACAACTGAAGTGAATGCACTCAGGCAGTTTCAGATGCACTGTCTTCGAGCCTGTGAAAAAATTTCGAAACAGATTACGAAATAAGAGCCGCAAATGAATAGAAACCCACATTTATGAAAGTTGGCTTCCACGTAATTGTCAAATCGATACTTTGCAAGTCAGCAATCATTCCAACTCAAAATCCTCAAACATCTAATACTAGGAAAGTCATAAGAGCAAACTGCATGGAGGTTGCGATTCAAGTATATTCTTTTCTAGGATCGAAATCCAGAAACTTCACTTTCTTCCCAAGCATCCCCCCCCCCCCCTCCCCACTTGAGGATTAGATGACGGCTTATATCAAAATGGATATAATATGCTTAGAGCCCGATATGACGTGGAATTTACCATACTTGGCAGTATTCATGGGAAACTTCATAGATGTGGAAGAAAAGTAGCCTTCAATGACCATCTCTTTCTAAATCTCACAAGGCTCATGAAGTGATTCTAAGGTACCATACGCTAGGGATAGGGGCTGAAAAAGATTCGTTACACATCAATAGAGCGAGACCTTCCAACTATTATAAATCTTGGATAGGCATTTTCCTTTGATGAAATAGGGAAGGTAGGGATAGATAAACATCAAAAAACCACTTCCCTCCTCATAGCTTAGGAATGACCGTGCAATTTTCATCCTAATTATTAAGCAACCTATTTCAACCCTAAGTTAAAAGAGAGATAGAGGACCCTCGGTATTCAGAGGGACAGAAAAAAGCCCCGCTGCCTTGACTTAGTTGTGTGGAGAGAAAATGAATCACCAAGTAAAAGAATCAAGAAGCGAGATGCAAGGCACGAGAGTAAACGATTTAAGTCCAAAAACAAAAAAGACTACATAATGGAGGGAACAGACAAAATCGGAGAGATAGGACATCTTGTAGTACGTGTCCGCACCCCCCCCCCCATCGCGTCTGACCAAGGCAGAGAAATGGCCGCCAGGGTATAGGCACGCAGAAGAGGGGAGGCGAGATTAGATTAAAGCATTTCACTCACTCACTCACTCACACCCCCCCCCCCCCCCTCCCCTCCCCTCGTGTGAACGAAATTTAGGATACTCAGACTCACAGTACACACACCGACTGACTGGTCGACTGCTAGTAATACCGACAAAGCTAACGCGCACTCGTCTGACGCTCGGTCGGCGGCTTGTCCAGTCACGTATGGGTTGCTGATGGATAATGTGCAGCTGCCAAAACATCGAACCACTAATCCTTTGATGGTGATAATAGGGAGGAGGAGGAGGGTAAATAGACAATCGGATTTGCAAGAAGTCAAATGTACCTCCCCTTAAGTAGCTACATGAAGGATAACCATCCATCTTCCATTAAGCGTTAATTCAAGAGCCCCATTCAGTGAATAATGACCACAAACGGGCCCAATGCTTAAGTTGAGGGTAACAAAGAGATTTACGTTCCTTGTAGACAGAAAGGTCGTATATAATTTAGACATCGAGCTAGTTAACCCGAAAGATAGTAAAACAATGACTGTTAAGGCGTCACAAGTGAAAAACAGGTTTCCGTTTAGCGTAGAGGGGAAGTGTATGGTATCATGATGCTATTGACAAGGGCGTAATCACCCAAATATTGTAACCCATAAGAACGCTGAGGACATATGCACGGTAGGGATATCCATATTCATTTACATCATTTGACGGAGTGTAAATTGGAGAGGGCGAAAGTTTGCAGGTCTTTAGCTGCGAGATGATGTATAGCAGATATAAAAAAGTGTATTCTGCCAAGTCAAGATCAGTAAAAGAGATGGCTCCTATAGAGGACCACGTCAGGTAATCGAGAGCCTGACTAAAGGGCAATACAAATACCATGCCAAATATTCATGTTATCGATCGTTATTCATTAGTTTACAAATGACAATTAAACAATGGTGGTGGTAAAACCGTCCAAATGCTCTCAATTAAGAGAAAAATAAACTAGTTAGTTCACTGTTTACAAAGGAGACGCAAACGTTTTAATACCACCAAGTCCGTCATATTTACGAGTAGGGGCATAACAACACAAATTGTGAAAGCTTTAAAACATTCTCAAATGGCAGCATTTTAAGGCAAATTTTGCGTCAACCAATGAGTAACAGTGACTGCAAAAAAACCTTCCTATGACTCAAATTATGAAATAAAAGCAGTTGAGCGGTTTTCCCTTTCTCAATGAACACGGAAGCAATACAGTACTTCTACTTCCTTTCATGAGTACAGAATAAAGAGTGAGATCACTAATATCCTGATCATTCCGCACATTGTTACATGGGGAGAGAAGCTAGTACTCGGGCGGTCAATTGGGGTTAAAAGTCTAAATGCGGTCTTACAGCTTTTCTCTATTTGGGACTGAAGCTTGACTCTCTCCCCATAAGGAGGGATGTTCCTCTTAGGCGAAATATTTCACTTCAGTATTATCGCCCATGGGTGCTTATTCGGATGGGTGGCTATTTGGTTCCAAAAAAGTAGTTTCATGAAATGCAATTTTCCGCTTAACCTCCCTGGGCGGATTTTCGGAAAACCTCGGTAATTTATTTTCTGGAGTACAATGTTGGACCTTGTCATTGCAAAATGGCATTGCACGTAAAGAAATTGAAGGAAGGTAGAAGGGGACAAATATAAAAAATTGCGCCATTTCCCATTAATCTCTACTTAACCTGTTACGGAAGTAATAACACGGAGTGAAGGATAAATGAGTTTGCTAGAGTTGGGAAAATAAATTTTGAAAAGAAACGGTAAACAGCTATTTGTGCAACCTGTCATCATTTGGAAGATAAGGGCAAATGTCTTTGAAAGTGAGAAAAAAAAACACATTGCAAATAAATTTTAATGCATGGCCATAAATAAACAAAAGTGGATGCAAAGACACCTCACCAGACAATTCAATAAACAAAGCAGATTTTGAAGAGAAAAATAATCGACACGCTTGAAAAGTGTGATGGTCTTTGTAAGATGAAGCTACTGCAGTTTATCCAAGCACATTGAATTGCATACAATTATTACCTACGAATGCTATCAATGAATCAGATGATCAGTCAAATAGTTAATATATCGCAAGGTTTAAATTAAATCAAGTAAATCTATCTTTTGTTAAGAGATCTTTTATTGATGGAATATCGGATACGGATATGGGGTAATAGGTGTTAGAACTTCAGTTCTGGTCTCAGATCATCAAAGAAAAATCTGACCGTAACTGAATGTTGCCCCAAATTTTGATTTTACTTCCCAGTTAATCAATGCAAACGTTTGAAGAAAGATGTCATATAAGAAACATCTTATAAAGAAAAAGAATAAAAAGGGGCCGATGTATATTGAGCATCTAAGAGATAAAACTAGGCTACATGGACAATGCGTGAAGTAAGAATCCATCTGAAACTGTCCAAAACTTTGAAGAAGTGCTCGATACAATTCACGTGGGTAGAGGAAGGACATCTTGCAGCCTCATCTGTAGGAAATCCCCGTTATAGTTATTATGTAGTTAGACAATTAACAAGTGAGATTGGCCGATCAAATCATTATGATTATGCCGGTGGGCATCGATGCAATGAACACTGATTTAACAAACACGCACGCAGACACTTGCAACACCGACGCATACATTAGCCATAAACATAATTTAGTTGAATCTAGTTAATTAGTAGTTCCTATATGATTACAACATAGGAAAGTGCCAAAAAATAGAGTAACTTACAGTCCAGAGCAACACTATCAGTTTCCATTTGTTCGGCAACGGGAATGAGCCAGGACGCAAGGGAGGCAGAGAGTTCCCGTTCACCCACGGCAAATATATCCATTTCCATCTGTTTATCACAACAGGAATTACCCTCAGGAATCGGACAGACAGTTTGATCTAGAAAAATAGAGGATGATGATATGAAACGACTTCAACTTACGGTAAGAGGAAGAGGGTACACCGGTTACCATGACCTTGTAACGGTACGTTAACCAGTCCCTTTTGGCTTTGGCACAATCGAGACCAGAGGTGGGAAGAATATTCCATGATAGGAAAAGAAGGACAGTGAGGAGATAAAGAGGAGAGGAGATAGGGTATAAGCGAGAAATTGATTGCCAGTAGCGCATTGCTAGGCGCTGGAGGGATAAAACGTATTCTGAGATGAAATAAGGATAGTACGATTAAAAAATATTATACGGTTGTTGAAAGCAATCCCGATCGTATACTGATTAGCATGGTAGCAAATCCTAAAAGAAAAGAATTATTATCAAGTGAGCATTCGACTTCTCTTTAAAATTGACAAAAAATTTTGATTAAAAATTTCAATGATGTGTCAAAAATAATCAAAATAAAAATGGGAAATGATTGAAGAAACCTGATGTTCTACAGTAAATGCAATAAGGATAAAGAAAACAAAAGAAAAAAGACAAATAGTAATCTTGAAGAAACGAACCCATTTAGTTTAACATAAATAAAAGTTTTAGCAATAAAAAAGTGAAAAAATTAAAGTTATTGAAATTAAGAGGTGCTATACGTATTTAAATACCAAAACAAACCATCCTTTCATTTACCTAAAGATTTAAAAGCGCGACGCAGAAAGTGTGTGAGTCGCTGATCGAGTAAAAGAATCGAACGATCAAGCCTTGAGTATAAGAAGGAACAGAGACATATATTTAAGTGCTATTTATTAAATTTTTCCAACATTAATTATACCATAATTTTTATGACATATGTTTGCTTATCAAAATTTGACTTCCGTCTTTAGCAAAAACCTATGCATTTTCAAACATTATATCCATGTTCAATCTTTGCATAATGGTAAATTACTATATCTTTAATATATATTTTTTCATAGTACTACTCATGAATCCAAATCGGTTTATTGCTACCGCCATTTAACAAATTGCCTGTCCTTTGAACAGTTATGAATGGACCTTTTTAATTTAAAACGGAAATATGGCTCGTGCGAAAGTTCGTGAAATATCAATTGATTACCGAATTCCTCTACATCGTTCCCTTCCTTTTCAATATGCCCATCAAAAATATAATATTTGCCAACTATGTGTTTGCCATTAATTTTTCATATTTCTAATTTTTAACGTTATCTGAATAATTAACGACCATGAAGACGTTTTTAGTATCAATTCATTGATTTTGCATTGGATAAAAATATTTTAGCACCTGGACGCAGTAACCATATTATTTCTTATTTTAGCAATACAATTGGAGAGCAGAAAATCTTGAGGCTTGGCTGTTCGTTATAAATATATAACCATTTATTCAATCTTAACGTGTAACTGCATTTTTTCATGCTATACCTCTCACTTTTTGCGTTAATTACATTTTGCAACTTTGCCGCTTTCCGAGTCACCCTATAAAATGGGGGAACTATGAGTATATAAGTATTGTATTTCACTTTATTTCCTGTGAAACGGTTACCCATACTTACCTTGAGTCATTTTGTTACTGTAAGGAAGAACCCAAAAATATCTTTGCTAAATTTTATATAAGTTTATTTAATGAATGTGTGTAAATACGTGATATAAAGCATTTCTGACATTTATATCTTCATAAAAATGAAATTTTCCTCGTTAAAATTTCACGCACCTATTTTTTGCAATAATAGATACGCTCTCAATTGAACTAAATGTTGATTAAGTCATATTTCGAGGGAAATCATTTTCACCTACTTGTCATCAAAATACGCACAAATACCAGAACTCACCAATAACTTCTGCCTACCGTTTTGGTCTTATTTACGTTAAAATTGGGCAGAGCACTTGCATTCAAATTAAGCATACAGTGATAAACATGACAGTTTTAACAATAATTTCGCATATATGATTATTTCTCATTTACTTTGATCCGAATGTGTGAGTTTGAGATGCTCTGAAGGTTCCAAAGTAACAATAGTAAGCATGATTGAGTTGGATCTGTTCAGTTGGAAAAGGATAAAACCTTCAAATCCTGTAGAAGAGAACTATACTAACTTCTGGAAATGATAAACTTTGGTAATCCATGAGGGACGAATATTTGCTGAGGTTGTTAATGACAATACAACTTGTTAGAGATTTTGATTTCGAATTCACCTGAATGAGATAAGGGGTACTTTGGTAGATCCATGAAGATTGAGATCGATGTAATGGCGCATACCAGGATCTTGGGAAGAAATGAGTGTATTCGGTTGTTTTGACTCACCTTCACACTGATCAACCACTTTGTTACTGTTACCTTGAGTGAGAAACGGGTTAATCAATACCGATTCCCCACTAGTACCAAACACTTGGGAAGACATACAGACATGGGCTTAGTTCGAATTTGATTAGGATAAATTAGATGTGTTGGGGACCGAATCATGGTTGACAATGTAGGAGTTCTAGAGAAGGCTAGGTTAGAATATTCTTTTTTCGAGCCTTTAGAAGGCGTATTTGATTTGTATGGTGTTCATGCAGACAGAATGTCTGTACTGAGTGTTGCTTAGGTGCGGTAGGCTAGTAGACATGTCGCATTTAGACGATTTTAGACGAGGCAGATTCATTAGATTGCCCAATATTTGTATTTTTATGCTAACTTTGACTGGTGGGGGCAACTTTAATTCATCATAAGTTACTTGAACTTGAGTTGCACCTTAGGAGATACAGGTGTAACCACAGTTAAAGGGTCGTTTTTGTCCCGTTTTCGTTGAAGGAAAATCAGTTCCTTCAAATAAGCTGTCAGGCAATGCTTAAAAGATAAGTGAGGTCTATCCTCTTTGTTGAGAAACTAAAGGCTGTTTGCTTAAGTCATAGAATAAATTTTCAGTATTGGTATGTAATATGTAATAACTCTATTAGCCTTCAAATGATGTAATTAGATAACGTCACTGAATTTTTATAATATTTACCTTTGCTCAAAAACTACGCAAGGTATTCCTCCGGCCATTATAAGAATAAATGAGAGTGAAAAGCCTTTAATTTTTCCAAAAAATGCTACTTATAATTGTTAAGTAGATATTTCTTGAAAATTAAACAAAGGCTTTGTTAATGGGTTAAATATCGATTGAGAGCAAGTAAAGATATTGAAATTTATGGAAAATAGCCTAGGAAATTAAGCTAGATATTAATCTCAAAGCTTTTACACCGCTTGATATTGATACAAATTATTCCAACGCTCATAAAGGCAGTTTTAAGTCTTATGTTCTTTCTTCAAGTAAGAAAATCCTGAATTATTCTTGCTAGCATTACTGGCGAAGCAAATACCAAACGAATAGCATATTCAATGGACAAAATAATGGGAAGACAATAAGAGACATTAATTTGTTTGATCCATAGGTGATGCAACGACTCTCGAAAACGAAATTTGAGGAGAACAGGTATAACGAACCGACAATGTCATCGGCTGTCCTTTCAAAAACTCTAGAGAAGTAGAACGCCTTTTGAACACAATGCAGATATATGTTGCAGGCATGAAATTTAATTCTGACATTGAAAGGAGTCCATTATGCAAAAGTTTTTATTTGACATTCAGTCAGTTCGGGAGAAGGTTACGAATATGGTGAGGTACTCACAAACTCCGAACATACTTCAACTTAATCAAGATCAAAAACCACTCCAGTCTCTAATTTATAAAAGGCAAATATAGGTCTGGAAGAAGGAAGATACATTGCAAGTAGAATTTTAAGAACAAAATAGAAGGCTTAAATTTATTTATTTCAAATGACAGGCGTTTCGGTAACTACCATTAGCCCTTTAGCTGACTCCGGGTTTCACAGATAGAGGGAGGAACATCAAAGTGGCAAAATGTTGAGAGGGGGGGGGGGGTACAGAATAATGATACACAGATGTGAAAGAGACAGACCGACACAAAGGAGTATATCTCATCTTTCCCAGAAAAAAGATCGTTCAACGCATTTTTTACATTTTTCATACATTTATTATTAGGAAAATTTATGGTTTCTTTTCCCTTCGTTTGCAAGTCTTATACTTAGAAACATTTGTATGAAACAACTCTTGACTAATTATTGCGTTTTGTGCCTTCCTGACTACTTAAATTCACTATTAGTAATCCATTTGATTAATCTAATAAAGAAATCTCTGTGTATTGTTATTAATCTTAACTCGCCTTGACAACTAGCCACCATTTCCTGTAAACACGATTCAAATTTGCCACCTGTTTCTTCTAATTTCCTTCACTAGCGAGCACACATGTCAAACACCCCCATCTACTACTATCACTATTTCGGAAACGCATTTACTCACTATTCTGTTTTGTCTCCCACATCATCCCACACAAATCGTCAAAATTCCATTTCAACAACAAATTGCAGATTCTCCGTTTTGTGAGCATGTCTCCATTCTAATTTTGCTTATCTCTGCGACATCTGACGAGGTATAATCAGTTAATACCAGAAACCATCTGTGTTGAGACCCTTGAGATGAGCACCCAAGTTAGTAATCTCTTGGGGACTACCTTGAATGAGTCCTCTCCTCAGTTCGGTAACTAAGGGAAGAGATTAGGGGGGGGAGGGATGGGGCGGGGAGTGGGGAGTGGAGGGACCTGAATTTGAGACCAAATACAACCTGTCGAGTTAATTATAAGCACATCTTAAAATCTCACCGACTAGATTGAAACTTGGAAGTGCAGGGGGGGGGGTGAGTTTCGGTAGGGCAGTTATGGGCTGAATTGAATAAGGTAGCTGCCGCCAATCTTTCGATTAAAAGACGCCAGTTGGTCAAGGCACTTAATTTAAATTGAAACGGGGAGTTGGTTGCTGGGGGAAGTCAATACGAGTTGCTTCAATCAAAACTCACTCTCCCAATCCAAGATGCTCAACAAGTGTCATTTCTAAATTGAATTACCAAGTGCAAGGAAGAGGGACTCAAAGGAATAGATCTATGAGTTTAATTGCCTTTACTGAGTGAGATCAGACCCTGGCACTAAGATAATTAGGGGTTTTTAAACAAGAAATATTGGAGAGAATTCTCTGGGGTGTCTAAGATATATAAGTATGCCTATCGCTAATTAATAATACGACTATTGAGTTAATGTGTATGTAGTCCTCTTATGCAAATATTCAAGTAATTGAAATACAGAACAAGTGGTGGTTGAGTGTTTCAGTCTGGTAATTACTTTGCTCTCGTAACTGAACTGATTTCGTGGAACGTGAATGCTATATAGTTAATCAAAATTGGCTTCTTCTTCTACCACGTTAGGCATTCATATTCCTTTAAAATTTAGACCCGCTTTAAGGACACTCATGCAAGTGAAAGTGTCATAGTTGAAAAACCTCACAAGTACCTTTTTAAAAATGCAATCCCGTATGAGCTATCAATCTGAATTTTAATCCTAAAACGACAATTTGGCGGATTAGCATTTATTGGGAGAGGTGGACGTTATCAGCCACCCAATTTAATGTACCGATCACCTTAGAGGAAGGGGGGACTGAATGAAGTGGGTTAAGCCTATTTAAAGACACTTCTGTTTTAGGTTTTCATAGACATTCCATGTTTAAAAATAACGAATCGACAGGAATTTTGTACGAATCGCACCCTGTTTCCCTTCACCAAGACACCCAACGAAAGCGCTTTAACGAAGCCCAAAGTCATTCATCGCTTTAATCAATAATTTCCCATACACCTGTTAGGTCGCTCCCTTGAACACTGACTACATGTCGCTGCCGTGTTGTATGCAGCCAACCGTGGAGATGGCAATCATTGAACTGGAAAAAAATCCTCGCATTTGCACAACTCGCTTGTGGTTAGTCATTTGCTTATTTTCTTTGCCAACAGGGGTGTGCGTTAGATTTACCTCCATATGGTGCACCCTGGGCAACGTATTCTCATAAGGCAAAAAAAGTCTATTAACCGGCACTTGACTTCTCACTTCAAATTACCATCACCCCACTACATGCCATATTTGACTACTTCCACAGTACTCACCTCACCTTTTTTCTACCTTTGTGTCTGTCTCTTTTATATTATTGCTACACTCTTCTCTTCCCTCCCCCCCCCCACCCTCTCGACTTTTTTCACTTTGATTTTCCTTCCCCTCTGTGAGGTCTGAAGTCAACTAAAGGGCTAATGATACCTATCAGAACCCCTGCCATTTGATATATATAAATCTTTACCAACATGGTAAGATTGGCAGAGTGCCTTCAAACGGATTAACCACCAGTGAGACTACTTATTCTGTGAGAGTACACTTGATCTCTGGAATCCGTGGCATTCGTAATACTTTATATGCTGTCCCTAGCGAGATGTTCAACTGCACTGTTCAAAAGATTGAGAGTAGAATGCAAAGCATTTCAAGACCGATAACATCACAAATGAGAGGTATTACCTTCACTTTAATCTCTCTTAATCCCCATTTTACGCTTATGTCATTGCAAGCACTTTCTGACACCACTGGGTCTCGACAAGCATTAATTATCTGAGTCCTGAAAATCGTGAAGTGTTTGCTTAACCATTCAGGTTTTAGCCTCACCTTAAATGGGGGGGGTGGGGGGGGGGGGGGGGCAAACTAGTTGAATCTTCTGCGTAATCACCGAATTTCAAAATCAGATCCCAAGTGAAGTGCAATAACAAAATCCACCCACCCACACACGCACATTTAATTAATTTCTATCAGAGTTAATCATGCGAAAATGCGTTTTTAATTAAGGAACTAATTTCAATAACAAGGGAGTAAGTCAGTTGGAATATCACCTAAGCAACCGGAGCCTTAACGACAGATTAAGAGATCAAATTTTATGCGATTCAGTTAGTTTGATTAGGTTAGAATTGGGAAGTAAATATTTGATAGTTTGTCTTCGGGTTACTCATTTTTCACTCTATGATAACGGCAAAGTTCGATGCTTTAGAATGGGTTTGAAGTGAAATAATATTTAAATCAAATGGGTGTGCGATAGACTTACTTTCATGTGGTGCACACTGGACAACGTATACTCATACGGCAAAAAATCTATAAACCGGCAGTTGACTTCTGAATTCAAACTAACATCACCCCACTGTATGTCATATTCGACTACTTCTACAGTACTCACCTCACCTTTTTTCTACCTTTTCTACCTTCGTCCTTGAAACACACTTCTCTTACCTCCCCCCCCTCTCGCCTTTTTTTCACTTTGATGTTCCTTCCCCTCTGTGAAGCCTGAAGTCAACTAAAGGGCTAATGATAACCATCAAAACGCCTGCCATTTGATATAAATAAGTAAATTAATATTTAACTCATATGGATAATTTTAAATTTGATAAATGTATTTCCTTGTGAAATGAAAAGGGAAATCTTTTCCTCAATTGAACTCGACATCCCCGAAAAGTGTCTCCATGTCCTGTAAGGCAAGTGTTGTTTAGTTAGTGCAACGCCAACGTATGGGGCTGTTGAATATGGGCAAAAGGTGAAATTTCGGGTGAGACGCCCTTATGAATTTCTCCCAAACGAAATCTAGTTCACGAATCTGCTTAACTGGAATTGAAAATCTGCTTGTTGACTATTTTTCTTGTGACTAGTGGTTAAATAAATAGTAAAAGGAATTCATTAAGTCATAGTAGCTATTCCGGGAAAACCCTCATTTAGAAAAATCTCCGTAAGCTACTGGG